TTTCCTTCATGAGAGTCAAAATTCAAGTTTTTCTGGTGATTCTACGAAAGCTTTCTGTGTCTTTCTAGTTGGATATTTTAAGAACTGCACCATCTTGGCTTTGGTCTGTAAGGAGATAAGTCACCAATGATGAAGATCTGCGCAACATTTGATCCAGAGTCTTGGTTCAACTATTGTTATTTTCCTGGCTAAGATGCTCACGTGGAAAGCAGTTTCAGCAATTCTGCAGAAGATGGATTTCAGTAAGTGCACTTTACTGTGTAGAGTGAGATAAATTGTATTTGCTGAAATTCCTGCTTCGAATATCTCTTGGAGGTAAGACACATACACGAAGCCCCGTTCCTCAAGGTATCTGGTTGCCATAATTTTGAACCCAATTGTTTTCAGAATATATTCTCCAGTACAAAATGGTGGTGGGAGCCAAAATGTGATTAACTAGCTGTAGAATATACGAGTGTTTGTGTGTCAAAGGTCCCACAGAGAATTCCTAATGTTTCTATTTTCAAAAGGCAGAATTTGATAGCAGAGACTTCTGAGTAGTTTATTAGATGTATCTCCCCACCTGCTATTTAGGAGCTCAAGGGGACAAAAATAATGTTTCCTTTCTCTAATTTTCCCTACAACATTGGTTTTATGATTGGATTGATGTTATCTGATCTCTTCATCCATCACAATCCAAGTTATCTGGACTAGTGATCAGGTGTACAATGATGTAAATAGCAATTGCTATTCAGAACGTATCATAAGGTGTAGTCTCTAAGTAATATTAGTTTATTATTGGTTTATTATTTTGTCCTTGCTGCAACATTAACCAAAGATCTTTGTAAAATCTTTCAATGTTCTGAAGTTCTTCTATGCTTTTGAACTGTCTTTTCATTACTACCTTCTATAACAAACTGGACTTTGGGAGGAGGTGTTACCATGTAGCACCAGAGTTATTAATAAGGATAAACTAAAGGTGGGGGTGGGAAGAGGAATTGGATTCTGGGACAAATATGAAGCGAAGATCTCAAGGATGCATAATATGGCATGCATGGGTCTTTCTCACAAGAAAGTGGTGTTAGTTGATTTGCATGTTTCTTTATATATTATGTAGATTTTTAGTTAAACATTGTTCTTTGTTTTAAGAACTCATTGCAGGGGAAAACAGATTAGAGAAAGCATCTCATATGTCAAAACATCTCTTAGCCATGGTGTGTTTTCTAAGTCAGAACCGAACACGTCACATGATGGCGAATTGTTATGTATAAATACAGCCACTGTGGTTCCTCAACATGTTGTACCGGCTAACCTTTAGTGGTTCACTCAGCAGACTATTATTAAGCAATCCATGGTTTAGTGCAAAGCAGAAACCTAGCCAATTTCAGGTTTTATCTGAGCCTGTAGGTCAAGATCTTTCCTTCCAGCCCTACTTGGTGGTTCTGGGTTTCGAAAAGGGATCTTCTGGATAGGAAGCAAGCTTGGGATGACTGGGTCATGAGTCCACCTAGAAAATAACTGGTGGGGGGGGGGCAATAGCTCAGCAATTAAGGACACTGGTCAGCTGGGAAGTTGACTGCCCAGTTTCGAGACCATAGTGCCGCAGGACAGGGTGAGCTCCCATTACATGCCTCAGCTTCTGCCCACCTAGTAGTTTGAAAGCCTGCAACTGTGAGTAGATAAATAGGTACCACTTTGTGGGAAGGTAACAGTGTTCTGTGTGCTTTGGCATATAGTCATCCTGGCCACATGACCCTGGAAGAAACAGAGATAAGCACTGCCCACTAGAGTCAGAAACAACTGGACAGGGCAAGCTTTTAACTTTTACCTTTATTTATAGATAGTTGGTCTGGACTGCACATTATATTCTGCGTGCACAATAGTGGCCTTGAAGGACTAGAACGAGCCTATATCAAAATCTCTGAATTTGCAATTTTTCACTTTGCACCACTGAGCATCACTCTCAGAAACCAAAATCATAAACCAGCGGTTCCCAACCTTTTTCATACCCCGCATCCCTAGAACGCTTCTGATAATATTCTCGCACCCCTTACAAAAGTAATTCCTGATTATGCATATACACTATAATTTCGAAACTTCTAAACCCAAATTTTCACACACCCCTGGAATATCGTCTCGCACCCCCATGGGGTGCGAACACCCCCGGTTGGGAACCCCTGCCATAAATCTACCAAACCTAAGCTGAATTTGCTTTTTATCTGAGTTTGTCTATTGGGGATGCTTAACTCTACCTCTGGATCTTCACTTCTCTTTCCTAAAAACGAAGCCCCAGGACCAGTGGTGGGATTCAGCCGGTTTGCACCCCTTCGGCAGAACTGGTAGCTAATTTTTTTGTTGCCCAAGGCCCAGAATGGACTTCCGGAAGCGGCATCCACGCAGAGACCCGGTTGTTCACCTGTTTGAATCCCACCACTGTAGACAGACAGACAGGCAGGCAGACAGACAGACAGTGGTGGAATTCAGCCTGTTCGCACCACTTTGGCAGAACCGATAGCTAATTTTTTGTTGCCCAGGCCCAGAATGGACTTCCGGAAGCGGCATCCACGCAGAGAACCGGTTGTTCATCTGTTTGAATCCCACCACTGTAGACAGACAGACAGACAGACAGGCAGACAGACAGACAGTGGTGGGATTCAGCTGGACAGACAGACAGACAGACAGACAGACAGTGGTGGGATTCAGCTGGTTTGCACCACTTCGGCAGAACCAGTAGCTAATTTTTTGTTGCCCAAGGCCCAGAATGGACTTCCGGAAGCGGCATCCACACAGAGAACCGGTTGTTCATCTGTTTGAATCCCACCACTGTAGACAGACAGACAGGCAGACAGACAGACAGACAGACAGACAGTGGTGGGATTCAGCTGGACAGACAGACAGTGGTGGGATTCAGCCGGTTTGCACCACTTCGGCAGAACCGGTAGCTAATTTTTTGTTGCCCAAGGTCCAGAATGGACTTCCGGAAGTGGCATCCACACAGAGGATGTTCACCTATTTGAATCCCACCACTGCCCAGGACGAAGCTACTTTTTACCCACTGCTGTCATTCCGTTTTCAGCTAAATAACTTGTTTGGGATAATGCTGAAGATATTTTGCACTGGAAGGAATTCAAAAACAAAAGAACGGACAATTGCTTCAGCAATAAGAGCCCGCTGTTCCCTTCTGGCAAATTAGCCAGCAACACTTTCAAACAATAAAATAAAATAACACCCCAAAGAAATGGATGAGCTCTCGGCCCAATATGCCATGTTAATGGATAGGTGGTCTACATAGTTCAGGCTATTATCTCATATACTGTCATCCGCATTGTTTTAGCAGCAGGGCAAGGCAACAGCAAAATACATCACCACAGCTGTCCCAATGGACACCGAAAAAAAAAATCATGAAACTCTAATTGACTTCTTATGTGGGCTGAATAACTCTTCAGCAGCTGAAGACAGATTCTGAGAAATGTGAGCTCCTATTAAGATAAGCCTCTGTTGTTTCCCTTCCTTGGGGATCTTTTTCTAGGATTCTAGGCAGGGTTCATGTCAAAATGTGGTGTAGTTCGGGCTTAGCCTGTGGAATGAACCAAACCACGGTGGTTTGCAAGCCATCTTTTATGATTATGCTTGATGTGTGAATGGAGCCATGGGGTCTTTTTCAATAAACCAGGTCTAAAGCGAACCAGGTCTTTTGCATGAAGGATGAACCCAGTCAACCCAGTTCTTCTTTTTGTCCAATATTGGATGTTTCCATTTTTAAAGATAACGTTCTTGTATAGGTTTTATCTATAATTTCAGTGGATGATAAATGATTTCCAGATTTGTTTTGCTATCCATCCTCAGCCCAGGGAAAATATGTTTTATCTCTAATGAGATTGACCGAATGTGGCTTTGTACAGCTTTATTCAATCACATGCAAAACAGATAAATTTTGCCGTTTTCTTTAATGCCAAATTGGACGGTTTTACTTAATACCTCATTGAGTGTTTCATAAAAAATCTCCTAAAAGAGAGAACGAATTGTGTCGGGTTATATGTGGTTGAGCTGGTTATTTGCAAGGCTGTGTGAAGATCTGGGCATTTCTGTAATCACGATTGCTGACTCTGAAATTCTGAACAATGAAATTCAGACTGTAAGCTGGTTTACATAATTATTTATTAGTATCATTTGACAGTTCGTGGCTTCAACTTTGGCTCTCAAATGAGTATGTGAACTCCCAAAGGATGGCATTTCGGTTAACAATGAATGTTAGTCTGGGTTTCTATGACATGGGGTGCAACCCCTCCCCCCTTTTGTCCATTTGCTACTATTTTAATTGTGACCGTCTGCTTAATTGGAACCTTACACACATTGTTTTGTCTGAACTAGGATGGTCTTCGTTTCAGTTTACAGAAATTGGAACTGAACTTTATATCAGACCTCAGAGTACTGTAAATTCAAAATGGGAATTTCTCCAGGTACAGCAGTGCAGAAGTGAATTAATAAGATGGATCTCATTGGCCTGTGAGCTTCATCCACATAGCAGATATGAACAATGGCACGATTTTAAGAAGGCGTGTTTTAAGGGCATCCGTCCAGTGCACTTTTCTCAGCCCTGTACCTATCTAGGTACATGTTTAGAAGGTGTAAAATTTGATGTTTTGATTGTGGGGTCCTTGGTGCTCTCTGAGCTGGGTTGTTTTCTTGCAGACGTTTCACGACCCAACTAGGTAACATCATCAGTGCTGGAAGGGAGTGGGGTTTGCTCTCTGTTTATATACAAGTGGCTTGCCCTGTCAGTGTTGGTGAGAGCGTTTTTGATGGTTCCTTGATTAGGCTGTTGTTTACTGTTTATTTAAGTTTGCAATCCCTTGATTAGGATTTGTTTACTACTTGATTGTTGGTCTATATTAATCTGTCAGAGATTACTAGTTTTATTTTTTTTGCTAAAAAAGCTCTGTTGGGTACTCTGTTGAATTAGTATTAAATAAGATGGATCTTACCCTTAATGAATTTCCTTTCAACCTGGGCCCTAATAGTCATTCCTCACATCCCCGAGAGCTAAATGCATTGCATTTTACAAAAAGGAACGGAATGAGTACGTACCTCATGAGTACACGACACTATTAATCTCCCGTGAATGAATGAACCTTTATTATCAAAGTATAACTTGTATACAGTGAAATTGGCTGAGCCTCCCTCCGTGCCCCCCCCACCACAACTCACAGTGACTCCAAACCCCCAACTTATTACACCCTGTGAGCTAATTGCACATCACGCCGGCCTCACGAGTCTGTCACGCATAAAGTTATGACTTGACACACAGAACAATTGTGGACTCGCTAAAACCGAAATGCTGTTTTCCACAGCGGGCATTATGTTACCAGTGGATATCTTGAACCTAGAGAAGGAGCCTCAAAGGTGCTTTTTCAAAAGGCCACCGGACTTTATTTTTCCCTGAAGACATTTCACTTCTCATCCAAGAAGCTTCTTCAGTTCTGACTGAATGGTGGTGGTGGGGGGAAGGATGTATTCCAGTGGTTCTCAACCTTTTTAATGCCACGACCCCCAACCGGTCGTAAGTCGAGGACTTTCCCTGCCCGGGAGCGCCGCCCATGCGTGGTTCCGCCCCCTGCGCCAGCCGAGGTGTAGCTGGCAAGCGGCAGAGACGGAGCAGGCCGACCACCAGCTGGCCCAGCCCAAGGGAGGTAAGGCACCCGCCGGAAAAGGGGGAAAAAATGGCGGACAAAAAAATGGCAGACAGCCTTGCTTGGCGACCCCCTTGAAATGGTCGATCGACCCCAAATGGGGTCACGACCCATAGGTTGAGAACCGCTGATGTATTCCATCCTCCTTGGCTAATGAACAGACGGACTGCAAGGAACGTAAATCCTTCCATCCTCCACCAGCCAGAAGTGAAGAAACCTCTTGGATGAGAAGCAAAATGTCTTGAAGCAAAAACAAAAAAAGGCCAGCTGGCTTTTAAAAAAAGGGGCAGCCATCACCTGGACCAGAGGTCCCCAACCTGTGGGCCGTGGCCCACTAGTGGGCTGTGAGAGGTTTGCCACCGGGCCGCAGGAACAGCTGGCGAGTGCGCACGTTTGCACAAGCAGTGGGCAAGCCTGCAACGCACATGCTCCATTTAAGCAAGTGGCAGGCGGTGTGCACGCCACTCGCGCAAAGGGATCTGCATGCGTGCTCGCCGGCCGCTCGCACGGAACCATCTCCTCACTCCCCTCCCCCGCCCCGGTCTGGAAAGCTAGAAACTTTGGGGGGACTCTGCCCTGGATGACTGAGACTCTCCATAGACATGACATAGGAATTATTACAATACAACGAATAAAATGTTAAGTAACACAAAGCAAAAATGCAACTCCTCTTGAGCAGCAGGGGGAAATTTTTATTACGTTTTGGAGGCATCCAAAAGGATTTACTGTATTTTGGAATTCCATCCCATCCCGAATGCACAGGGTCCCCTTTCACCCCAAATAACGGGCTGGGGTAACTGAGGTGACTTTTACATCCGCATAATTGTGGTTCCCTTGGATCGCTGTTTTGAGGCCAAGTGGCTGCTGGGAATCCCAAATGAGCTCTTAGGTTTCCCCTTAGTGACCGTTAATGTAAAAATTGGCTGGGTATGTTGCAACTTGACAAACTCCCCGGTTTTGTCATCTCAGGCCGGCGGGAATTAAAAAAAAAAGGAGGGGGGAAAAAGGAAAGAAATGTAGACAAACTCCAGAGCTGATGCCAAAAGGTGTGGGCTCTCCTATTTTTTTTTTTTTTTTTTTGCAGATCGTATGATGATACGCAGGCCTAGGTTGTATATATTCTGCCTACTTGCAGCGAAGGATTTTGGCAAACCGCATCATGTGATTGTTGCTTTTTGCCTTGGAGTAGTAGCGGAAGTCAAGTTGGAATGTCACGTTTTGCAATCGGCAGTCTATTTTTAATTTTAACCAGAATTCACGGCCCGCAGGCATTTTGTTTTACAGGATAGGGACCGGGATTCTGTTCTCCACGCTCCAAAGGCTTTCCCACCCCAGCCACGCACACACAGGGACAGCCACAGTGTGAGTGTGAGACGGTTTGAACATCAGGGAACGCTACATGGGCAAGTGTCATTTTTTTGCTTTCTTGGCAGCTGTGCCTTAACGCAGAACAAAGGCCTTTCCTGTGAGCCTGACCCGGCTTTGTGGCCGGTGAAGATGTGGCATGGAACCTACGTGCACATCTGGTGCTCTTTAATCCGCTGAAGAAAACAGGGTTGGCTTTTTTTGCTCAGCGCTGAGAAGGGAGCAGCAGTCCAGATGCCTTTGATGTGTGTCAGGGTGGGACTCCCAGACACTATTGAAGTATAGTTTCATCCAGAATGACCAGGAGGCTGGGAGGTGTAATTGCTCAACATCTGGAGAAGGCAAAGGGTTCGCCACTCTGGGTCCTGGATGAGCAATAAGCAGCCAAGAGGTGTGGTACACAACTTCAACTCCCACCCATCCCCAATGGGGAGCAGCAGGAGTGAGGCTGGGCAGTCCAGATGTTGCATTAAGCCACAATGCCATTGGCTTGGTATGCTGTAGGGAGCCAGCAATTTTGGCTTGGTCGAGAAACCTGGATGAAAACAAACCATGTTCCTTGACTCACCGATCATACATTTTGCGGCTATTTGAAATTGCAGCAGCGCTGGGAAAAAAAGGTGACTTACGACCGGTCCTTGCGCTTACGACTGCTGTACACTTCCCCCTAGTCACGTGATCCAAATCTGGTTGCTTGGCAACCAGCATGGCCTACGAGGGTTGCAACATTCTGGGGTCCTGTGATCACCATCTGCAACCTTCTCCAGCTGATTTCTGACCAGCACTCTCAAAGAGAAGAGGTGGATTTGCTTAATGTCTGTGCGATTCACTTCATAACCGTGGCAAAAAAAAAAGGTTATAAAATCGGAGAGGACTCAGTTAAGAACCGCCTTGCTTTAGCCATGGAAATTCTGACCCCCTCAACTGTGGCCATAAAGTCAAGGATGACCCATATTGGGAAATGGGAATCCAGTACTCATGACTGGATGTGCGCATGACCAAATAAAACCAGAATGTAGATTGCCTGGTCTTGTTGTCAGGTATTGTGGGATCCCGGCCAATGCCTGGGCAAAGGAAGTTTTATGACTTAGGTAATTGTTTGCTTTGCCATCGATAGCCAATCCTGGCAGCCATGTTCCTTTCGTGCTTTAGACCAGGGGTCCCCAACCCATGGGCCGTGGACCAGTACTGGGCCGCGGCATGCCAGCAATCGGTCCGCACAAACAAGCAAAGCCCCATCCGCGGGATGCAGGCAGCACACAAAACCACACACCCTTCGGTCCGCGGGATAACCTCTCTCCACAAAACTGGTCCCTGATGCCCAAAAGGTTGGGGACCTCTGCTTTAGACCAAAACAGGTTCTTGAGCAGAGAACTTAAGAGTTGGAAGGGACCTTGGAGGTCAACCCCCTGCTCAAGCAGGAGACCCTACACCATTTCTGACCGATGGCAGCCCAGTCTCTCCTTGAAAGCGTCCGGTGATGAAACTCCCACAATATCTGAAGGCAACTTCCGTTCCACTGGTTGACTGTTCTCGCTGTCAGAAGATTTCTCCTTATTTCTCTCCTTGATTAGTTTTCATCCGTTGTTCCTTGTCTGGCCTTCAGGGGCTTTGGAAAATAGGTTGATCCCCCCCCCCCCTTCGTCTCTGTGACAGCCCCTCAACTGAAATATTATGCAGTTGCCTAGTTACCCCTCGTGTTAGTTGCTACAGGAGACGCTGAAAAACTACCTGCCCATCCTGTGTATAATGTCCTCTTTTCTTAGTTAATTCCTTCTTTCGTCTTTAACTGTGGGCAGAACAATTCGCCCATTTACAGTAGCTATGAAATTGTATTTTTAAGTAAACTGTGTCTTGAAAGGGAAGTCAATGCCTGCTATCTGCATTTTCCCTTCCGTGAAAGGCGGTAGGATCCTAAAGGCAACCCTTGTTTTCTCAGTGGCAGCGGTTAAGAGAGCAATGTCTTGATTTGGGGGACGTCCTCGACTTAGGACGACAACTGAGCCCAACATTTCCACCGCTAAGCGAGACAGCTGTTAAAAGAAGCTTTGTCCCATTTTTACGATCTTTCCTGCCACGGTCGTTAAATGAATCGTGGCAGTTGTTCAGTTAGCAATACGGTTGTCAAGGAAATCTGGCTTTGCTTGGGTCGCAAAAGGGGATCACACAACCACACACACCCCCTCCCCTCCCGGGACACTGCAACCGTCGTAAAGATGAGGCAGTTGCCAAGCGTCCAGATTTTGATCACACGACCCTGGGGACGCTGCAACGGTTGGTAAGTGTGAAAAATAGTCATTTTTTTCAGTGCCGTTGTAACTTCAAACAGTCCACTAAATCAGGGTTTTTCAAACTTGGCGCTCTTATGACTTGTGGACCTCAACTCCCAGAATTCCTCAGCCAGCGTTGCTGGCTGAGGAATTCTGGGAGTTGAAGTCCACAAGTCATAAAAGCGCCAAGTTTGAAGACCCTTGCACTAAATGGAACAGTTGTAATTTGAAGACTAATAGATTCAATAGCTTTGTGTGTCAGCTAATGGTATGCAAAAGCCACCCTTTTTTGACGATGGCCCAAGGGGTCATTTCTTCAAAAGGCAGCATTAACTTTGCCCACACTTCTAAGAAAGAGTGGGCGCCCCCTGGTCCCACCACCAAAGCTTCTGGGAACATGGCAACCGATTGATGAGCCTTGAAGACAGTACTGTGTCAAGTTCTCTGAGAGCCTCTCAGTCCCTGGGACAGGGTTCACCATCTATCAGGGTTCGTAAACGAGGGTGGGAACTCATGTGTTATGTTGTTCGGTAAACATCTCCAGGACGTTAGACTGAGTGGCTTTGCAAGCGACATAGGAGCGGCTTATTGTGGTTTTCCAAAATGCAAGCAACTTCTCCGTGGGGAGCAATTTTTTACATATGTGAGGACATAGCATAAAAACAACACGCTGTGCAGTCCCTGGTGCCAAGGGCTTAGGTTATTCTACGAAGAGGCATGTCTGCTGATGTATCCCTTGGTCTTAAAAACTTTATAGGCATGCATAATAGGCACCACCTCGCCAAAATTAAGCACTTCCAA